ATTTTCATCCTATTTCATGATTAATGTATATGTATAAATTAGTTAAATCATTAGATGGAAAGTAAAAATACGATGAAAATATTAATTAATATTGTTTTAAACATAGATGAGGACACACACTTTTTTTTTTTAAATCTGACCCTTATAAAACGAAGTTTGGAATAAATTTATTTACTTGAGGAATGTTATTAATTTTCTCTTTTATACTATTTTTCGAACACTATCTTTATAATTAACTCAAATTTAGTCGATTTCACTTCTAAATTAAGAAATAATCATTAAATGAAAAGTGCGATCATCCAAATTAATGATCTTCGATCAATTTTAGTTTTGTTTTGTTAATATTTTTCTATTCGATTTTTAAATTAATTATCTTAATTTTTTTGTTAACTATTATTTTATAATTTATTGATAATGTACAAGTTATTATAATTACAATATACAACTATTAAATTATCACATAGTTTTATATTATCTACATTTTATTCATTATAAATGAATCATTATTTTATGAGATTTTTAGAATAATACTTCCTCATTTCTTTTTAATTATATTTATTACAAATTATATGTATATGATGTATTATTTACTAATTATATTTACTTATATTTATTAGAAAATAAAAAAAAATTACGAAAAATACTAAAAAGTAGTATTATTTAATAAAAGTAAAATATAATTAAAGTTGTTTCTTTTGTTCTGAAGTCTAAAATAAAATCAAAGGAAAGATTGATTTGTTTTGTGGTGTTTGTTTACCTTCACCATGATACGGATTTCAAGTTACAAGATTCAAATGCTTCTTCTCCGGCGAACCGCCACGTTCATATTCTCAAACCCCCGCTGCGTACAACCCCTCCGCCGACATCACCACCACCCCATTTCTCCGGTGAACCCTGATCACCTCCTCCAAGTCTGCACCGTCCTCTACCAGCAGCAAAACTCGCCCGAGTCACGACTCACCTCCAAACTCGCCTCTTGCGAGTTCCAACTCACCCACGAGTTTTTCCTTCAAGTATGCAACAAATTTCCCTATTCATGGCGCCCCGTTTACCGCTTCTTCCTCTACACACAGTCCCAGCCTCGCTTCAACCATACCACGGTCTCCTTCAACAAGATGCTCGACGTAGTAGGCAAGTCTCGCAACATCGACCTCTTCTGGGAACTTCTCAACGACATGGCACGTCGTCGTTTCGTTAATGATAAGACCTTCGTGATCGCGTTGAGGACTTTAGGGGGTGCAAGGGAGCTCAAGAAGTGTGTGGAGTTTTTCCACTTGATGAATTCCAATGGCTGTGAATACAATTTGGGGACTTTGAACAAGGTGGTTGAGGCAATGTGTAAGTGCAAGCTTGTTGAGGAAGCAAAGTTTGTTGTTTTCAAGTTGAGGGAGTGGGTTAGGCCTGACGGGGTTACTTACAAGTGGTTGGTTGGAGGCTACTGTGATAAGGGTGATTTGGTTGAGGCTTCCAAGGTTTGGAACTTGATAGAGGATGAGGGGTTTCAGCCAGATGTTGATGCTGTTGAGAAAATGATGGAGACCCTCTTTAAGGTGAATCAGTATGGTGAGGCTTTGAGGCTTTTTGAGACAATGAGGTTCAAGAGGATGAATGAACTTGGGGTTTCAACTTATGGGCTGGTGATTAGGTGGTTGTGTAAGAAGGGGATGATGGCACAGGCGCATGAGGTGTTTGAGGAAATGCGCGAAAGGGGTGTTCGAGTTGATAACTCGACTTTGGGGGATGTTGTGTATGGACTTCTAACTAGGCGCAGGGTTAGAGAGGCTTATCAAGTTGTTGAGGGGATTGAGGTGCCACATTTGAGCGTGTATCATGGATTGATAAAGGGGCTCTTGAGGCTGAGAAGGGCCAGTGAGGCAACTCAGGTGTTTAGGGAGATGATAAAGAGGGGTTGCGAGCCGAATATGCACACATACATTATGCTGCTGCAAGGGCATTTGGGGAGGAGGGGAAGGAAGGGGTCTGATCCGCATGTCAATTTTGACACTATTTTTGTTGGGGGTATGGTGAAGGCTGGGAAGTCACGGGAAGCTACAAAGTATGTGGAGAGAGTGATTAACAGAGGAATGGAGGTGCCAAGGTTTGATTATAACAAGTTTTTGTACTACTTTTCAAATGAGGAAGGTGCGGTTATGTTTGAGGAGGTGGGGAAGAAGTTGAAAGAGGTGGGGTTGTTTGATTTGGCAGACATACTTGAGAGTTATGGACAGAAGATGGCTACTAGAGATAGGAGAAGAAACAGAAGTCGAATAGCTACTAGAGATACTAATGACTGATATCAGATATTGATAATCAAGTTGTGTGAATCTATAGAGGAAAATACTCTTCCACAACCCAAACATGTATTATACAACTGATTATGTTAACTTTTGACATCCAGTTGATTGGTTGTACTGGATGTCAAATGATCATCCCTCGTCTATAGACTATGTAACTTTATGTGAAAAAAAAAACCAAAGTTTATCGGGAAATGAAGGAGGAGATTGACAAAATGTTTACCTCTGCAACAGTGCACAAATCTGTCCTGCAAGTAGCACATGATTCAGATATATATGCCTTAAATATAATATATCATTGGTTTTCCAGTTTCATTATAAACCCTCTCTCCCTCCCCACCCCATTATAGGTTTCTATGAATACATTATTTATAAACAATGGTTTAGGATTAGCACGTGCCATTTAATTGTTACTGAGGATCATTTGCATTCTTTTATTTGTTGTCTCTTTTTTTGAGTTATGATTTTATTTATTTATTTTGAAAAAAGGATAAGGGTAGAAAGGCATGTAGTGCTTTCATGTTTCCAAGATAATCCAACCTTAAATGATCAGTGCAATGGTGCAGGTCTATTGAGAAATGATTATGGCAGACATGCTTCACTAATTTTAAGAATTGGACAGCTTGTACTATGCTGGCTTTATATATTTGTACTTAAAATAGTTAATAATAAATCGTAGTGCTTACCCTACATCTTTTCGGGGGTTGACCTATTTTTATAACCGGATTTAGATTAGTGGATGAATTTAAGGGAGTGAAATTAAATGAATTTGAAAAAAAAAATTAAGATTCTTTAAATTAAATGAAAGTTGATTAGAAATTAGAGAAATGAGATGAAATAAGTGAATGATATTATAATTATTAATATAATTAAAAATGTTATAATTATTTTATTTATTTTTATTTTAATTATTGATATGATTATTTTTTTTATTTATTTAAATATTTAGTATTAATATAATAATAATTATTTCTATATTTATTATTATAATTAAAAATAATATAATTATTTTTAAAATTATAATTATAATTATTATAATTTTTATTATTAAAATAATTATTAATGTTATTATTATTATTTATATATCATATATAATATAATTCACTCTTTCCACAGCATTTTTTCTCATTAACCAGTGGAAGAAAATTTTCTGGGAATTGCATAGTTTCTTGCAACTTTCCCTACAAATCTTCCCTGCACCACTTTGGACCGTTGGATCCAAACATACCTATAAGAGATCAACTAAAGTTGGTTTAATTGGTTCCATGAGAATGTAAGTTCAAATTTCAATACTAATGCGCGGATTTTGTTGGTGAATAATCTGTAAATGTTATATATATGTCCTAATATTCCTAATATTCTTTAGGTTTCTAGATTCAATTCATCGACACCTTTACGGATAATAATAATAATAATAATAATAATAATAATAATAATAATAATAATAATAATAATAATAATAATAATAATAAACTTTTCTTGAGTACTCACTATTATTTAGTAAGTGCAAAATTGTTTTTGTTGATAAGTACATAACTACAATAAACATAAATTAGTCGTTAAATTGGTCATTTTAATTATTCCATTTTTCAATCTTCTGTTAATCTTAACTTTTCAAAAAAGTTATTTATTTTAATTTTCTTACCTTATTTAGTAACATGAAAGATGGAAGTAAATTATTTATGTAAAGGCAGAAAGTGAGTACGAATTTAGAGAAGTTAACAATTATGAATAAACAACAAGAAATTATAATATTAAGAATTAAAAGGAGTTTATTTTCCATCAATATTGAAAAATGTTACTTGTACAACTGTACATCTAAGAGAGAAAGAGCGCATGACATGAGATATAATGGCATGAGATATAATGGAGAGAAACAAACAAAAAATGTTCATACAAATTGTTGCATGAGTTGTTCTATTGTATGTATAACACACCGAACTCATAATATATTTTGCACTCTAGGATAACTACTTAAGAATTGCTCTGCTCTGCATATGGTGAACAGTGGCTTCAACTGTGCTAAAATCTCAAATTCATTTTTAAATGTCGTGGCCATTCATATTCTTTGGTATAAAAATCAATGTGATTGTTCAACAAGATTTCATTGCCGTCCAATGATAAAAATAATCATTGAGGACAAAATTGCTAACAAGATATAAATGAATGAATTAATACAAACACATTTGACAGAAACAATAAATTGGAGCTAACTTCAACGTGAATCTACAGCTTCCACGATCTTCTCCACCCAATTGCGCATAAATGTAGAAAAACGTCAGGGCTCCAAGCAGTATATACAGCATGCCTACAGAACAATCCACTCCCTGAAGTTGAAACAGCAACCAAAAATTGCATTTTAGTATGCAGACAAATGGAAATTCCAACAGTAACAGTGCTTCTTGCGACTACAAGTTATCAAGTTAATGGATGTTTAGATTCCATCTCTCAGCACAATTAATAAAGCAACAAAATGAAGCTTGGTTTGACAGATACATACTACGCCAGTATAGTAGTGTACAAAATAATCCATATCAAGACCTATGCATATGACCAACATTAGAGTTTTACAGCATCCAATGATTTTAAATTTTTTATTATTGAGGATTAAATGTCACCATCACCATGTACAATAAAAGTCAAGAAGAATTACCAGAGCAAAACAATAAGTTCATCCGCCAGGGTGAGACATAATAAAGCATCCAATCATTTTTTCAGAAATGGTTTCCGGCAAACAAGAAGTCGCTGGCCACTTCCATTCTGAAGGTCAATTACCCTTGCTTCCCAACGTACTTGTGTGGCAAGTGTGCGAGCCATCTCTATAATTCTCATGCTATCAGAAAGAATGACCCATCCCTACCAAGCCATGTAATATGTTATGTCAATAAGAATACAAAATTGTGCAACACCCCAGTCAAATACTTTGCCATTTTCATCATGCTGGAGAATAAGTAAAAATAATGATGAAGGATAAAGGAATGAAGATACCACATAATTGTTCTGCGAAGAAATAGTCATGACAAAATATATAAGGGAGACTGCGTACCTCTGGACGCAGTATTCTGTCCATCTCCAAGAATAGATTCATCATGCTGCATCTCTCAGAAGTGAGATGAGAAAGAAGTCCACTTGCGTGGAGCATATCATATGTCAGGGGGTACGTAGGGAAAGGTTCACACCTAAAGATCAATCACCAGATCACATATATGAAACCATTTACTTCACAAGGGCATTGTCAAACTCGAGTTAACCCAGACTCTTGTGAGCTAGTTAAGAAGCGGAATAAAACATAATTTTTATCCCCCCTCCAAAATGACCCCCCATTTTCACCAGGACTAATGATCCAAAGAAATTAACTTCTTTTTGAAATTTTTACACTTTAGAAACTTACTTTTTTATAAATTTAAATATGATTTGCTTTTAGTTTGATCTTATTTAGTACTAATGTATCTTCAAACTTTATTTATTGTGGTTGGTACTTTGCTTTATTACAGAGTTAAAATGTTAAATTATTGTTGTATTAAGAGTATTATGTCACGCACATATATCATTAATAGTTTTTAAATATTATTTATCATATTTCAGAGTTTGAGTTGAGTCTGAAACATTCACGAGTTTATGATTAACTCTTGAGTTTGACAACCTTTCTCTCCACAACTTGTCTAGACCAGGAACAAAAAGAAACTTACCAGTCATGCAAAACACCAGCAAAACCTCTATCTAGTATAAGAGGAAGTGAATTAGATGCTGTAGCAGGAACAACATTCATGACCCAAACTGATTTTTTCTCTTCCAGAAGGGCAGTGTTCAACCCCCCATATTTAGTACTCATGTCCATCACATTACGAATCATGTTAAATGACGGTAATGGATCTTCAACTCCTGGTCTCTTTGGATGATCGGAGAAAATTAGTGGTGTAAGCAAAGACCAATAGTTCTTGAGTGTTGATCTCCAGAATTCTAAGTCTTCAAAAAAGTCTTCAGACTGAACTCCTGCTACAGGATAGAGATGTCAATGAAAAGCCAAAGCAGTAGTACGGAATGGGAATGAAGGGTAGATAGAGGCAAAGCAAATAATCTGAAAGCATTTACAAACAATACTTTCCATTAATTTTAAGCTCATCTGAACTCAAATCAGATCCACAGGATCTGTTCTGAATTGCAATCCAGCGCTTGCTAGAGGTCCCACTTATACATGGTTGAAGAGGCCGATAATATGACTGAACATCATCTTCTTGGCATAGTGGTATAGCATGCTTCTTTCTACAATGTAAGGGAACATGCCACTAAGAATTATGGTAGCACACTACTTTCAGAGACCCATGGATCAAGCCTTTAGCAGAGCTAATGGTAGTTGATATTAGTAAAGTTAAATAAACATTCTATAGACAATATTATCAACTATCTTTACCGAGATGCATAACAATTAACATCAGCAGTCTTCTGCCAGATGATTGTCTCATCTTGCTGAGCTAGAAGAGTCCAACAGAGTTGCTGGGTCAGCTCTTCCATTGGCTTCAACATGTTCCTCCTTTTTATTTGTGATGAACTTCCCTGTGACCTGCTTGTGGGCGAGGTTAACACAAAGTATCCTCCAGGTTCAAGAACACGGTCAACTTCTATAAGGAACATTCCATCTGTTGAACACGTCAATGTTAGAGAGCAAAAGGAAAGATAGAAATTCATAAAAAGCTAAATGTTATTAGCTATGATATAGGGCAAGCAGGCAAACTAGGAAAGAAGTGGGCAGTAACTCTTTTCTAGAACAAAAATCCACAGAGAAGTCTAATACTTAGGAAGCAAAGATAACTCGTTAATTCACATTAACAATAACATAATGGAATCACCCTTTTCATCCCAAATGATGCCACATTGAGCACAGTGAACCATGTCATATGATAATGAAGGATATGGAAGTTGTCTTGCAATAAAGTTGCCAATCACGGCAGGAAGGCCCCTCTCAAGGACCAACTGAACCTGGCTACCTGTTGCCTCATATGCAGCAACGCAAACTGCCATTATATTCAATGATGCTAAATGAGCTGCAAAGCTACCAAATCCACAATTAATGTCTAATATAGTGCGAACCTGCAATAAAGTGATCAATATAGAGCAGTCATATATATTATGCAACAAAAACATAAAAATCCATGATGACAATCAAATAAAGATTCTACTCCCAAAAACCAGCTTTGTCAAACATTATAATCAATGGAAGACTTACACCAACTTGAGGAAACTCATTGTCACTTCCCAACCCAATCATCTCTGCAAGTTGGCGAGAGTAATCTTTCACACCGTCATAGATTAGACTATCCTTTGGGCGGAAAGCAATTTGGTTCTCTTCTAGAAGCATTAACCTAGATAATTTATTGCAAAAGTATAGAGCTAGAAAAATGTTATTAATAATATATTAACAAACTCCTTGCAAAAATTGCAGTGCTTCTCTTTAAGCGGCCCATTGTTACAGCCTAAACACTATTTTAGCCAAAAGAGGGTCAATTTCACTCTAGTAATTGACATAGAGAAAATAGTACCTTTTGGTCATACTTCCAGATGAAAGAAATTGGCTTTTGGTTATCTTCACGTTTCCACTCCATATAACATCCCTGCCAGTTGGCCATCTGAAGGGAATTTTATATTCCTTAGGAGGGCGAACCAAACACCTTTCTGCTTCAACTAACAGTTCACAATGCCTATCAAACTCTTCTCCTTCTTTAAACCCTGCTAATAAATTGGCTGAAACATTGTAACAAGGCACAAAATTCTCTCTTCCCTTGCCACAGAGGTCAAATTCTCTCTGTCTAGAGATACCCCTGGCCACAGACCTTAACTCTAAATAATCAACCACCGCTTGCTCCTTAACCCTCCTATAGTTTGTGTATATGAGAGACACCGGAATATAAGGCACCAGATCAACAATATTAGAAGAAGATGAACCTAGAAAAAAATTCAGCACAAGAATAACCAGTTGACAGGGGATCTATGGCCAATAATGATTGATAATTTATTGAACCAGGAGCTTGTCATGTCCAAATCCTTGAACTTCCTTTGACAAACAGATTCAAAACCTACACCAAATGCCACAAACCCAGAATTCCAAGAACAGCAAGCAAAGTGAAAAACCACAACCTATCATAACATAACACAGGATTCTATGAAACCCTCACTATCCCTTAACGCATTGAAACAGTAGCTCACACTCCTTCCCCAATAACGAAGGAATGCCAATAGATTCATCAAAACCCCAAATATGGTGCAAAAAGAGGAGCTAAAATATCTCAAAAGTCCCAATTCTGAATCAAACCCAATACTTACACAACCAAACAGAGCACCTGCAACGCAAATTCAAAAGAGATTCACTCCATCAATCAATATGCGCAACCATTTCTCATTTTCAAGCAACCAAACTGAGAACTAATTCATGAAAGAAAAGAAAAATTGACAACTAACACCGATCAGATCAAAGCTGATAATTAAGTGCAAAAGAACAAGGAAGATAGAAAAGAGATATGGAAAATGGACAATTAGGGTTTTGATTGGTACCAAAGAATTAAGTTACTTGAGAGAGTGAGATTCATAAAGCAAATTGAGGCAATTGACATCAATTTTGCTGTGATGTCATGTTGTCTTTTTGGCATTTATATATATATATATATATATATATATATATATATATATATATATATATATAATTTAATAGACGTATTATCAAACATTTAATTTTAAAGTCATTCATTCGTATGCACGAAAATAATTATATTAAATTTATTTACCTCTTGAAGCACAAAAGAGAAACACCACAGACGAGACTAACCATTAAGCACCACACTCATCATATGACAAATGAATGACAATGACCATCATCAATGACAATGAACATCAAAGATCACCTATGACAATACCAATCTACTACAAACAATAAGTACACCACTAAATTAACGTCACACACGTGACTCACTGACCATCAAGAGCAGCCCACACAATGAACCACAGTGCTAAAACCATGATGACCTGACCACCACACGAATGCATAACTTACCATGTAATACAACTCACATCAAATTCACAACATAACACACAAAAATCGATTCTTCTTGACATAAAATGTGATCAAGAATTAATTTTAACCATCAAGAATCAATTCTCCTTTAATAATGTGACCAAGAATCGATTATCATTAACTGAAAATGGATTCTTATAAATGAATAATTGATTCTTCAAGCAATATAGGAGAGCGAGAAACAATTGTCGTTGAATCAATCTAGTAAATTTTGTGTACACCGACAATTGGTTCTTTACAAACATGCTCACCCATAATCGATTCTATTCACTTAGAGACTCGATTCTCTGCCACCAACACTCACGCGAATGTCATCAAATACAAAGTCATGCACAAATCAAACATCCCATCACTCAAGCTCACAAACGAACAACCAATGTATTCCTTCAAACCAGCCAGGAAACTACAACTCCAACAACTTAAACACACAACACCCAATTATTACATTCACGAGTTTTTAGTGGCGCATTCAAAATTTTAGCTACCATGGTCAACAGTGTTGTCAACAATCTTCCGTGTATGTTATTGGTCCATGTGGGCAGCAGGAATCTCCTGGAACGAATCTCTGCATGCAAGTTGTTTCTCTCCCATCTCATGTATAGTTTAGACATGCAAAATTGAATCAAAAAGGAAGGGGTAATAATGTAAATGCACACTACCTGAGGTGTCTTTCTCGACTCATCTCCTCGTCTGAACGAGGGAGTTAGATCCACTGTCTCCCTCAAGTTCTCTCTCCCAAATATACTCCTATCGTTGACAATAAACATAAAATTTTCGATCTTCTATTCACATGAATAATAAATCAATGGATACAAACATAACATAAAACTACAACTAGATTTTTTAGTAAAATTGATTTTAATAAAAATAAAATAAAATTAATATTTTTAATATAATTTTTTTATAAAAAATATAATATACTTTTTTTTTCTTTTTTATCTTATATTAATTACATCAAAAATAATAATTATTTTATTATATTTTAACTTATTTTAACAATTCTTCATCTTATACTCTCTTGAATATTTTATATTTTTAACTTAGGATTTACATGATACTAACCTTTATTTTTTTCTTTTTGAAAAACCATTATTATTAGTGAATTTGTCATACACTTATTATATTATAAAATATTATTTGATTATATTGGACCAATTAAAATTTTAATCTTGAACCTATTTTTGACCAGTTTAATGACGCGTCCAATTTTTAAATCATGATATATAATTTGTTAAAAACCCATAGTAAAATATAATTACTACCAAAAAATAATCCAAATAAATTAATATTCTAAGGCTGTTTATATTTTGGAGACCTTAATTAAGATGTTAATAATAAAAAGTTTTCACTAAAATAAATTTAGAGTATATTAATAATATATATATATATATATATATTATTTTACTATTTATCCTTTAATAAATAAAATTGGTGTCATGTACCTGATAAAAATTTATTTTATACCACTAAATATGTAATACATAAATGATGTTACATTTTTAAATTATATTACTATTAAAACTCATAATAAATAAATATTTTAAGTTTATGGTAATAACTTATATTATCATTTTTATTTTGAATTATTAATAATTTTTAAATTGTTCTCTTTAAAAATTTAAAAAATCTTAAAATATTATCGTCATATCATTTTAATAATTTGTTTATCTAAGTTAATGGTAACCCTAAACATAATCTCAAATAAAAAAGTTTAAGTCAATTTAGTTAAAGTATTTTAATTTTATATGAAAAAGTCTATTATTAAATAAACTTAACTAGTAAATATTTGTTGATGGTAATATAGTAAAAATATATTTATTGCGTATAAATAAGTATGAACATAAATAATTTTATTTATATTTCAATTTAGAAATATAAGTTGTAGTGCAGTTTCTAGATGGTTTTATTTTCAGTGAAACAAATCGTCATTAATATAAAATAATTATTGTTGAATTCGTCAACAACTTAGACGAATCGTCTTTTATTCTGCACCTTCCCATTAATCCATAGAAGAGTCTCACTTGGAGTGAGAATTGCACACTGGTATCACATATTATATCGTGAAGAAAGAAATTATTAAACTGATCATGCTAAAGAAGAAGCAAGAAACCCCATCCCCAGGACAATTGTTGCAAGAATCACAACCTCATTTAAAAGACAAGTCTATATTGCAAAATAAGTTTTATAAAAAATATTGCAAAATAATATTTTATAATTAAAGGATTATCCATTTGTCAAGTCTATATAAATAAATAGTGCAAGATGGTAGTTGAGAAAGTGGCCTATGATATTAAAAGCCTGAGATTCAAACACACTGTGATTTGGTGGAAACCCAAAATCATGTACCAAAAGTCATTGATTATTGAACTATTACCCACACAATGGGACCAAACACAGCTTCACACGGTTGCACGATCTCTAAAAGAGTTAATCAGAATATCTTCTTTCAGATTATGACCTGTCATTCAGAAAGAAAGAAAAAAATGAGTATGTTGACAAGCTGAAGAGGGTTTTTTCACTCCTCAAATTTGTGCTAAAACAAGAGAAGTTCTTCGAGTTACCGATAAAGACTATCTTATTAATGCGTTTCTCTTCCTTTTCCCACTTGCGAGATGGAACAATCTCATATAGTTCCCTCACTGCCTGCAAGATTTTGATGAATAAATGGTTTTAAAATAATACACAATAATAAATACAAGAAACTATGAGACATGTATCTCCTGCTTTGCATGCATCTCTTGATCAAATAGCAGATACAAATCTATGAGGATATTAAATAATTAGTTTATCAAACTTTCAGAAGCAGTTATGGATGATACAATCCCTTTTATCAGGTTAGGATCTGATGTTTCAAAATTTTATGTCCACATCAATCTAGATGCTTGCTGGAGGTAAATAGACAATACATGTGATATTTTCCTAATACAATAAGGAATTAAAATCAATCTGCATTAGTAGTTAGAGCCAGAACAGTATTTAACTGCTGCAGAATCTACAATCTAGGGATTGAAGGTAGATGGCATCATTGACTGGTAGTTTGTGATGTAACAAAGTTTACTTGTCAGTTTAAAACATGGAGGTGATTTTTTATAAACTAAATATTGTATCAAACATCAAGTGAATGTAATGGCACACCAAAATGTAAAATATAAACAGAATTTTAAATGTCCAACCAGTGATTAATGTAATCACAAACCTACTTGGATCCAGAATAACATGAACATAGCCACCCAAGACTCACATTGTAGTAGCACAAGAAAACATGTGGGTAAATCTTAATTGCGTTTAAGTATAATTTACCTGTAATGTATGCAGTTGATCAGAATCTTGAACACTCAACACTCCTTTGCAACGGTATACATCCATATCATATTTCTTCTCCCAGAGAATCTCCTCAAGCCATATTCGAGTCTATCATGGTTGAAAACAATATATAAATAGAAGAGAAGACAAGACAGAGAAAGCTTTATTCTAAACACTGACTTGAAAAACAGTGAGTTCAAGACAAAACTTTGACTGTTATGCATAACGGAAAGTCATAAACAAACAATAAACCAAGATTAAAGAGTGCAGCAATTTTATGCCTTGAAGAAATAATGTTTTGAATCCTCTGGTGGTGGAGCCAGTGGAAGAAAAATAAAGAAGGAAACATTGCTTTAATCTATTTTCCACTCTTTCCCGTACCAAGTGTGTTTATGGTTCAATTTGTTTTGAAGAAACAAATGCACTTTCCTGGCTTTTTGAGAGAACGTTGAAAAATATGCGACTATTAACATACAAGCACATAATTCAAACGCAAATTACATAATAAACTATGATGATACAAACCTATAAGTTATAGAAAAAAGGGAAATCTATACGTGAGTGGATGTATCTAGTAAAACAGATATTTTACGATAATGAGAGGAGCAAATCTTGGCCATACACAACTATACATGGATGGCTGAGATTAATGGTTAAAGTAATATGATCAGCCCAAAATATCACATGATTTTTATATTTTAAACTTGATCATTCATGATAAGATTTAATGGTCAATAAATAAGGAAACATTGTTCTACTCAGTTTTCCACTTTTCCCTATACTAAGTGTTTTTTTGGTTCAGCTTTTTTTGAAGAAATAACCACTTAACCTTGCTAGATTTCTAAGAGAACTTTGAAAACAACCAATTATTTCCTAAATTTAAGCTATCACAAATAAGCACATTGCAACTGCTAATTATTGAATAAACTACGATGATACTTGACTAGAAGCCACAGAGAAAGGGAAAACTATATATGTGTGTGTGAGTGTGGATGTATTTAGTGAAAAAACTATTTTTTATTTTATTTTTTCAAAAGTGGGAGGAGCAAATCTTGGTCATACCAACTATACATGAATGATTGGGATTAATAGGTTAAAGTCACATGATCATCCTAAACGTTCATCTTTTTTGATCAATCATGATAAGATCTCATGATCAACATTTGTCCCTTTTACCAACGAAAACCGTTCTCATTTTATGGTCTCACTATCTATATATACCTTATCAAGATCAATTGTCTGTGTATCAGAAATGCATATGGTTCTCACGCCACTATCATGAAGCTTGTTGGTAGACAAAGAACGACTTTCTTCTAGCAATGCCTCTAAATGTGTAGTACGCTGAAAAGAGAAATATCGAAGGTAAGAAGTAGTCACGTGGCATGTTAAGAAACACTATGCACCAGCCAAAATATGTATTATTTACTGCAGTATCATATGCTTGGCGGTTAAATATATTAGACAAGTCAACTTGACACCGGACAGAATGTATTATCTCTGCAAGAGAGTTAATGTCATGTATTTCCTCCTCAAGTTCTTCCAGAGCTCCAGAGCTCTCTGCAGATACCAAATCAACCTTGTTAAGAATTATAATGTCCTGAAACAAGTAGCAAAAACTATTAGCTCTTCGGTACCTGATTGCACTAAATGCTTGTAGTGGTTATACTATGCTAATACCTGGCCTAAATTATTAATATAAATAGGGGTACAAGATCAGTATTATACATTACAATTACTTAATAGTCTCATAAATGAAATATATTTTCTAACATTTCCTCTCTATATTTTCCCCTTTCCATCAATCTTTGAGATTCTGACAGCAAGTAAATGAGAAAATGAAAAATGGTTTATCAATAAGAACTAATAATCCAATAATCAGATAATTTAATAAACAATTACCGCAAATGCTATCTGAAAATATGCTTCAGGAAATGAAGATGAGCCACGGCGCTCATCAAGCTGGAAGCGCAAATTTTTAGCATCCACCACCTACTTGAGAAGAAACTCAATTAAAGAGAGACCATGATTCACAAGTCATGCTCTTATATAACAAGGAAAGATCAGCATCTATCATCATATAAGAAGAAGAGGAACAAACACAAAAGAATGATAATTTTGCTGGAGACAATAATTAAAACAGCTTCATTTCATTTAACATGGAATGAAACTCATAAAAGCAACTGTCTTATTATGCAGAAAATTTGAGAACTAATTGAATACAATATATAGAAAATTAGAGCATAATCATGCCAAAAAAAAGAGACAGATTAAAATACATTTCATCCAAAAAGGATACTTACCGTGACAATAGAATCAAGCCTCACTTCTGATTCCAACTGTTCATCCAACCATAGGACAGATGCCAAAGGTGCTGGATTTGCCAATCCAGTGGTTTCCAGCAATATATGGTCAAGCCTATAGACACAATATAAAGAAAAATACTTAATTGTGCCAAAAATATGCAGCAAATTTGGCTCACCTTACCGAACACATCATTCATGTTAAAATGAAAATGAGATTTGATGAAACTGAATTGCAACATTAACTAAGGGTCATAACTGTAGGTTCAATTTTCCATGCCCAAATTGACCACAAATATGGAAGTGTTTTCTTGTTTTACCTCTCCTTTCTCTGGACAAGCTGCTCAAGTGCTTGAACCAAACTATGCTTGACTGTGCAACATATACACCCATTGGCAAGCTCAACCCATTCTTCAACCAGGGCACCCTTATCCCCTTCATTGATCATCGCTCTTTCCACGCCAATTTCCTCACCAAACTCATTCAAAATGACAGCAATCCTCTTCCCATGTTGCGAACTCAAGATATGATTCACTAGCTGAAAGCAATGATTCAGTCACAAGATCACAATTCCACACTACAAAACAGCATCACCATTCCAAAAGAACTAGTACTATCAAGAAACAACAAGAACAACACATCCAAAGTGAAAAGACAGCAACTTTAAACTACCCAGATGGCCAGATATTGGGAAAATAGGAAATTTAGAGTGAATAATGAATCGTGAGCAGAAAAAAAAAATATGATGGGACGGCATAGAAGAAATGGGAAGGGTTTAAAGACCTTACAGTGGACTTGCCCGCACCAAGATAGCCGGTGATGAGAGTGACCCCAACAGAAGATTGCTGCGAAACGGACTCATCATTTCTTTGAATCTGAACCGCAAGTGGTGGCTCTTCGTCCTCCATCTTCTTCAACTGGTTTCTTCTATGTTGGGCTAGTTCCTTTCTTTTCCTCTTGCTTCTGATTCTTCATCTGGTTTCTTTTCTTTTCCTCTTTCTTCTGATTCTTGGTGTGCTGTTAGCATTAAAAAATGAAATTCTAACAAGTCTTTTATAAACAAATTCATAATTTATATTCCTCTTCAATAATTAATTGAAATGGTCCAATGTGTTTTCCATCCTAACAAATATTAGTCTTTTTTTCTTTAACTTCAATATTACATTTATTATAAGTAATAGGTTTAATTATTTCATTAAGAATTCAAAACTTGTATTTTTTTTTAAATATTAAGGTTAAAAAATTATATATATACAGAGAGAGAGAAATTAAAAAAAAATGATAATATTTTGATGGAGAAATAATATTTTTAAATTTAAAATATTTTTGAAGAATAAATAGAAGTATTCTAAAATAAGTGGAATAAAATGAAATTATATAGGTTGGGATGAAACCAATAAAACATTACAATATTGTTATTTAAATGAACTTCTTTACACTTTACCTCCAATATTGAATACAAACCTTTATTAATCCAGGGAAAAAAATAAAAGAAAAAAATAAATTGAAAATATTTTAAATTTTAACATCATTTAATCATTTATTTTAATAATGTATTAATAATAAATTAACAATTATATATATATATATATATATATATATATTAAAGTAAATTGTAATTTGGGTGTATGAAATAATATAATTACTTATATTATTCAAAATGGGAACGACGGAATGAGTATTTTCTCCCTTCCTATTTATTTTTCTCCTAATTGAACATTCATACACCAAATATCAAAATTATAATTATAAAAATAATGTTTTCTCTTAATCTTTTTAAAAAAAAAAACATTCCTTTTTATTTTTATTATTTAAAAACGTGATAGAGCAAACATCCCCAATTCTCATTCTTGAAATATTTTATATATAGTTTTATAAAATATTTTACATTTTATGTTATCAATAAACTCTTCACAAATAAAACTTTAGTTTCACTAAAAAGTGGAAATAATAAATCTGGGTATACAAATATAAATCAAATTCATAAGATCTATCTAGGACTACTATTATTATAACATAACATTACTAAATTTCTTGATCAAGAATCTCTAATATTTTTTATGACTAAATTTTACACATAAATTTAATTAGGTCATTAGTTTTAGAGTTCTAACTTTGATGTATTGTAAGTGAAAATTTTATGCTGTCAGGCTAATAAAAAAATATTTTTAATATAAGTTTTAAAGTAATTATTACAAAAGCTAACAAGTGTATTATAATAATAATCATTATTAATACATTATATTTAAAATTTCAATCACATAATAATCATTTTTAATTAAATTATTAATGATGCATTCAATGTAAGAATAATTTGCTTACCAAAAGTTATTTCAAGAAGATATTATTGTTTGATGTAATATATAGAAAATAGGGAATATATTAAACTCAATGAACCCAATCTAAGCATGTTTTAAACTTTTCAACCCAAGTTTTTTGCTGATCCAGTCCAGTTTAGAAAAGATTGACATCTAATGGGCCTATCCAATCGCAACCTTATATTACAGTTCCTGCTATTTACACTGCCCTTCTTTTCTATACATACTTCCCTTGTTGTTTCTTTCTATTCTTATTACCACAAACTTATAAACTTGTCATTTATATTTTATCTTCATTATTCTCTAACCCTTTATTATTTATCAAATAAATAAAATATAAAAAAACATAAGAAAAAGTCCTACTTTATGTTAGGATATAACCTTCTTAAAATTCTATTACATATAAATAAACCATAAATAAATAAATAGTTATTTATTATTTATTTATTTATCTGTCAAAACAAAATTTGTTGATGAAGAAAATATGAGTTCTTTAATATTTATGACAATGAAAAAGTTTAAATGGGAGTTGTAATTATAATTATATGAAGAAAAGAAAAGTCATAAATACAATATTTTCCTTTTGGTAGTGGTTTTGTGGCGCAGTGACGTGATAAATTAGGTGTACTAACGCACTTTTGCACTGGATTTTACAGCTTCTATATGGAGCATTAAAAAAGGCACCTTCCCTTAAGATAGAAGCATGGTGATATGTTACTAAAACGCAGCAAATATGATTCTTTTGTCCACGTTTCTTCCTTTAAATCATGTAACGTAAAATGGCACACCAACCGTTCGGTTCCAAATGTACCTTCATTTGACTAAAACGTTTGCTTTTGTCAAAGGTTTTGCCAAACCACACAATTATGAACCCTTGTCCCCCTCATGTAAAATATACTAACCAAATTAATGTGGTTGGCAGGCCTAAACATGCAGAGTGGAAGAATAACAAGGTCAACGAATTGGGTGTAATTGAATTACTTGAAATATATCCCAAATTAATTTATTTAACCAAAAGTTTTAGTAGAAAAAGGAAAAAGTGTGAGAAAATGGAAAAGAGGTATTTGTGTTGCACCATCCTCATGTTTGCAATTGCACTACGGAATCACTGGATCAACACGTACAAACAAAGACTCGGATTCAAAGTCTCTCATTTCTAAGATTTTAGTTATGTATTTGATGCCACTTGCCTTTTAATATATATAAATTATTCTATTAGAAATTTCATCCTGGAATAAATAATATTTTTGAAGAAATAATATATATAAGTAACTAATAAATATCAATAAATTAATTATTTAAAATATCAATAAATATTTCAAATAGTAATTTTTAACGCTAGAAAAAGTATACCTATATTTATTTTATATTACTCACGTGCATTGCGCGGTAGCTTTGAGAATGACTAAACAATAGGTTGTTATTAATTCACATGTTTCATATTTTGAATATCTTTTGTCGATATATATATATATATAAAACATGATTATGTGATAGATTTTATTTATATTGTGAATGAAGGTGATGAATTATATGGTATAATACATTTCTATTGAATAATTAATATAAATAAGTGAAATAATAAATGGAATCAATAATACTTAAAAGTTTAAATAATAATTTCTTAAAAGTTAATAGCATTAAAATTATGTAAAATATAAATATTACTTATCTAATTTATAAAAGAGTTATTCAAGATTTATATTTATAACTTAAATTATATAAATGAAGATATTTAAGTGATTAAAAACATCTCAACATTTGAAAGGTGTTAGTTTAATATAATTTTTTAGAAATTATAAATATAAATAAAATAGTATTATACGATAACCTAAAATTATATCAAAATTATAAATATTTTTACAAGAAAAATGAATAAGGATATAATTTTGGTTATGATTTCAACAAATAAAATGAAAACATTTCAAAATTCTTTAAATTATTATACCATTGATTTTTAAATTAAAATTTAAAATGATTATATATGACTTTCTATTGATGCTCATATTAAAAATTAAAAACTAGTACAAGCTAATTAAAAATTATATAAAAAGATTGTAACGATAATATAACGACATAAAGGAAAGAAGTGTCCATTGGGAATGGAGCTTTGATGGACGCGTCTCACTCAATAATGTCACATTGCATCTTCACCGATATGATAATATTTTCGTTTTTTATTTGCTATATTTTTATGTAAAAAATAATGTTTTTTTATTGTATATATTTTTATAATTTTATTTTACTTTCACAGCATTTTGGTTATTATGTTAAGCATTATATTTTGGTAACCGTAGAAAAATAAAAAGTCGTGAATGTATTTTAACTAATTTAAATAAAATAATTATTTAATTTGTATTTTATAATAAATATATGAGTATAAAAGAATGAAATTAAATGAAAAATAAAGATATATTGTTATTAAATTAGCTAATATTATTAAAAAATTTAAGTAATTTTGATACTTTTCGTTTTTTTAAATATCTCTTCCAATTTTTTTATTTATTTTTGTAGAAACTTTTATTTTTGTTGCATATCAGAGATTTTTTTTCCTTCCTAAAAATAATGTTTTTAATTAAAGTTGAGAGATCATTGAATTGGTTGAATCTCTTCCAAAAAAACAGCTCTGGATTTTTATAACTTTTTTAAAATAAATTATTTTGAAGTAAAATATTTATATAATATTATAATCCAAGTATTCTCATAATTAACATGTAACAACTCATGATTTTTTTATTGGTAAACGTGATTTCCAATTTAAACTAACAACGGTTGCTTGTTCATGATTTTGCATCTGCCATTTTTGCTGCACTCAACTACCTTCCACGGTACTCAATTTCTCTGTCCATGCATGTGATTTACTCCTTTTGTCAAATTCAAAGCTTCCCCAACACTTTCACAAAAAGAAAGAATAAATAAAAAGTTAATATTACGTTTTCAACACTAATTTTATATATCACTTTTCTCTCTTAGATTTGAGAGCTAAGAAAATTAAATTCTTCAATGTTAAGAAAGGGGTTAAATATACTGAAAAAAAAATTGATTACATAACAAAGGAATATATTGCACGTGACATGAGATGTGGAAGGTGCTCATGGATGTAATATGAAACATTTTATTTTGTCATTGTTAAAAAAAAAATTATAATTTTTTTATATGGGATTTTTTAATAAATATTATATTGTTTATTTTTTTTATTATTGCTGTTAGAGTTCTGTTTCATGACAGTTATCTTATTAAATTAAAGAAAAAAATGTTTATAATTATTTGTAGTGTAAAAATTTTGAGTATAACGAATAAAAAGTATATGAAATCGATCTATTATTCTGTTTTCCTCAAATTAAGTTTGGGTATATAAATATTATAATTTATTATTATTATTATTTTGTTAAAAGTGTTTTATATTTGATAGAGAACACACACTCATACGTTATCTTTTCGGAAAAGTTATTAAAAAGGTGCGTAAAGTTTATTGAAAATAATTGAATGTAAAGTAATTATTAATTATCTTAAAAACAACTAACATATAATATTATTACTTATAAATGCTAGATATTGCACCCATGCAACTAATCAATAAGTGCAAATTTTGAACACTGTCAAAATAATAGAAAAATTTAAATTGAGGAAATTATTAAAATGTGTTTAATAATATAGGATTAGTTAAACATTACAATAGTCTTTTAAGTCAATCTAGTTAAGAAACAAAATGTTTTTGACTTGATATAAAATTTAAATTGAGTTATGATAAAATTAATTCGACTAACTAATAATACTTGAAAAGAATAAAAAAAGAAGAAGAATAGAAAGGAATTTTTGTATTATCATTATATTGAATTTTTGTATTATTAGAATGGAATAAAAAGGAATGCATGAATTGCATTGAGATATTTGGAAAGAAAATTATATTGTGAAGAAAGAGCATTTGTAACTGTGGAGAATATCCGAATAAAAAAATGTATTTTTTGGTCAAAATGTATGGGATAAAATGTTAGAGAAGAATTTGAGGAGAAGAGAGTATTAACTAAATTTGAGTTACGGGTAATAAGAGAAGAAAGAGTGAAAAGCGAAAACGTGTGAGGCACAATGGGAGTGGCGGTAGTAATGTAATGCTTTTGTCACGGAAAAAACTGTGGTCTACGGGAACGGGACGGGTTAGATCTTGATCTTTGAATGCCATTGCTACGTGACAGCAATCACTCTTTCTCTCTCTCTTCCTTTCTCTATATAAATTATCACACCTCTTCATTCCTCTCATTCCCTCCCTCTCTTCTTTCTTTCTCTTCGGATCTCTCTTTCCTCCTTCATTCAAGGTAAATTCCACCAGTCTCTTTTCTCTTCTTTCTTTCTTGCTTTCATTTCCTTCTCTTGGATGCAAGTGGGCTTTTTTCCTCCTACCCCTTTCGTCTTTCCTCCTTGCCTTTCTTTTTCGTCTTCTGGGTGTTGTTGTTTCGGTCTCAAATACCACCTTTTTTTCTTATGCGGAATTGTTTGTTTTTGAATTCTTGGTGGGTTGGTGGATCACTGGATCTGTCGGTTTGGCTGGTTTCGTGTGAATTGTGTCGTTAGATCTGGTGGCTGAATTTATCATGTGGGGATTTGGATTCCGTATTTGTCTTTTGGTTAGTGTAATTTTGTTGTGTGTGTGTGCGCATGTGTGTATTGGATGAACATTTCAATTATTTATGTTTAATAGTTTGCATTTTTTTTTTTTATCTAATTTTGTTTCTCCCTGGATCTGCTTGTCTTTCTGTGTTTGCTTTGCTTGGGAATTGTAGATCCTTTTCGCCCTGTGATTATACTCGTGATTTCCTAAAATCCACTTGGAAATTATGCTGTTGGGTGAGCTTTGTTGTTTGGTCTTTTCAATTGCTGCTTATGGTCTTGATATGGTTGGTTTTACCTTGTTCACTTGCAATGAACACACAGTTTGGGAGTGAATTTGGAATTTGCGTTGTTTTTTTGTTGTTTTGCGTTTGGAGTCCTGAGTGTTTTTGTCACGCAGGCTGCTATACAAGAGTAAGAAATGGTGAAGATTTGCTGCATTGGAGCTGGGTATGTTGGTGGACCAACCATGGCTGTGATTGCTCTGAAGTGTCCTGAGATTGAGGTGGTGGTGGTGGATATCGCCGCTCCCCGAATCAATGCATGGAACAGCGACCACCTCCCCATATATGAGCCTGGCCTTGATGATGTGGTGAAGCAGTGCAGGGGGAAGAACCTCTTCTTCAGCATTGATGTGGAGAAGCATGTTGCTGAGGCTGACATTGTCTTTGTTTCGGTGAACACGCCGACCAAAACTCAGGGGCTTGGAGCTGGTAAGGCGGCTGATCTCACATATTGGGAGAGTGCTGCGAGAATGATTGCTGATGTTTCGAAAACAGACAAGATTGTGGTCGAAAAGTCAACTGTGCCTGTGAAAACGGCTGAGGCAATTGAAAGGATTTTGACTCACAACAGGAAAGGCATCAATTTCACAATTCTGTCAAACCCTGAGTTTCTTGCTGAGGGTACAGCAATTGCAGACTTGTTTAAGCCGGATCGAGTCCTTATCGGAGGCAGGGAAACCCCGGAAGGTCAAAAGGCTATTCAAGCTCTGAAGAATGTATACGCCCATTGGGTTCCTGTGGATAGAATCCTTTGCACCAATTTGTGGTCTGCTGAACTCTCAAAGCTAGCAGCTAATGCTTTTCTGGCCCAGAGGATCTCCTCTGTGAATGCCATGTCTGCACTTTGTGAGGCAACTGGTGCTGATGTCTCCCAGGTGTCTCACTCAATTGGCACAGACTCAAGAATTGGACCAAAGTTCCTGAATGCCAGCGTTGGTTTTGGTGGATCATGCTTTCAGAAGGACATATTGAACCTCGTGTATATCTGTGAGTGCAATGGCCTCCCCGAGGTGGCCAACTACTGGAAACAGGTCATTAAGGTGAATGACTACCAGAAAAACCGGTTTGTGAACCGTGTGGTGTCTTCCATGTTCAACACGGTTTCAGGGAAGAAGATTGCTATTCTGGGATTTGCTTTCAAGAAGGACACTGGTGACACTAGGGAGACCCCAGCCATTGATGTGTGCAAGGGCCTATTGGGAGACAAGGCAAAGTTGAGCATATATGATCCTCAGGTTTCTGAGGACCAAATCACGAGGGATTTGGCCATGAAAAAGTTTGATTGGGACCACCCTGCTCATCTTCAACCACTCAGCCCAACTTCCAACAAACAAGTATCTGTCGTCTGGGATGCCTATGAGGCAATCAAGGATGCACATGGTATCTGCATCATGACCGAGTGGGATGAGTTCAAGAACCTTGACTACAAAAAGGTTCACGACAGCATGCAGAAGCCTGCATTCGTTTTTGATGGCCGCAATGTTGTGGATGTCAACAAGCTGAGGGAAATTGGTTTCATTGTTTACTCCATTGGCAAACCTCTAGATCCATGGCTCAAGGACATGCCCGCAGTGGCTTAGAGGAAAAGACACAATTTGGAGCTGCCTTTAGGGATGAATGTGTTGGTCTTCCAAAGTGATACATTGTCATCGTGCAATTCATGTAGTTTAGAATTCTGCTACTGTTTTTCTTTGATGTTACTTTTATTTGATCAGGTTTTGCCCAAATCAGAGAGCTTAATTACCTGAATATCATTGTCTTTAGCTCGCTAAAAATCCTTATTTGTTGACCTGGTTTATTGTAATAAATGAGTACCGATGAAATTTTATACAACAGATAGCATTTGTTTCATGTTCCTTTTGTTCACATTTCTCTCTCTCTCTCTCGTGAAGATCCTCCTGCTTTGAAGGATGGAGAAGTACATAATAATTATTCTTTTTGAGATGAAAAATGAGTTCGGTAATAATTAAGAAATGGTTGGGGCTTCTGTTGTTGGCAGCTACAGCGCTACACACAGGTATAAAAGTATTAACTGAATTATATTATTATTATTATTATTATTATTATTATTATTATTATTATTATTATTAACGTACCACGTGTGGCGTGTGGCCTTCATAAAATTTTTGTATGATGATGGAGGAATGTCGTCATTTTCATCGTGCCGTTGTTTCCCTCTTTTTTCACGTTCGTCGCCTTTCGTGCAAAATCTTCACCCACTTTTCACTTTTTATTCTTCAAACATGTTTTCTCTTTCTTTTTATTAGATTGTAGCTGCTATACCTCAACACAAGAGTAAAAAATTAAAAATAAATAACAATAAATTTAACATCAATATAAGATAAGTTTTAGATTTTTTAAATCAAAAATTAATTATGAGGAATGAAAAAAAAACTACTAAACCCTAATATATATATATATATATATATATATATATATATACATATACATATACATATACATATACATATACTACTTAATCTTAAAGTTGTGTACAATCAGTATAAAATTTTAGCATTACATTTATTAATTTCAGTTAAAATAATATTATTAAGTTACATATTATATTTTGATGGATATAATAAATATTAATTTTTTTCTCAAAGTTTTTGTGAAATTTAATTTTGATTCCTGTATTTTAAAAGTTTACTAATTAATCTCAAACTTTATAAAAATTTTGAATTTTTAATATTTTTATAGAAACTTATTATTAAACACTAAATTTAGGTATTAATAAATATTAAAATTACATATTTTATGAATTTAGTCACTATTCATTTTGTGAAAAAAATATTAATAAGTATTAAATTTATATATAAAAATATTAAAAGAACATATTTTCAAAAACTGAATAAATTAATTAATTTTAAAATATAAAGACTAAAAAGAAGTTAAAAATAGGAAAACATACTTATTCCATACAGTAATTATTACTATACGAGGAAAATATTAATTTATTTGTATAACTACTATGTTATTAACATTATTTAAATTCTATTGCATTTACATTATATATATATATATATATATATATATATATATATATATAATTTGACCAATTTAAAATATGTTTATGAAAATAATAATCAAAATGAGTACCTAATAAATATGCAATTAAATTTATCATAATGTATTAAAATGATATTTAATTTATCAAATGAATAGGAAGCATTAGAATGTGGATCGGGTTAGGCAAGTGGACCCGCGGCCTACCATCAAATTGGGATGAGATTGAGATTTTAGTCCATTTCTTCTTCGTCGTCAATGAGTCACTCTTTAATTTTAAATACAATTGTTATATTAACAATTTAAGTTTAATGTCATGTAAATTTTTAATATTCTAATAATTTGAATGTTAAAATATATATTTTTATCACTTACCTTGTTTTATAAATTTAATTTCTTTAATATTAATAAAAATTAGTATTTAAATAAATTATTAACTATATTTTTTTAATTTGACCTCCTTATTTTTAATTTAATTTTGAATAGTGTGAGCCAAGTTATTCGTGACTTTTTCATTAAATTAGACCGACATGCATATTATCTACCACTATTAAATATGAAAAAAAAATCAAGAGATACGCAGGAACTATGAACAAATCATATAAAAAAAAATCTTTCGACTTAAAACAATATATTAGGTTTATAATCTCTTTTATTTATATATTAATCTTTTGTTTCGGCGAAATCTAACTTATATTTATTGGGTTTTTTCTACAAAATATTAGCGAGATTTTCTTAAAAATATTTGAACACTCTTATTTTAAAATTATGAGTTTATGTAATTAACTTTTAATAATTATGTTATAATTACATCAAAATTAAACTAAAGAAACCTATAATATATCTGTAGAAAGGAAAAACTGAATGAGATTCAAGATGAGAAAAAGAAAAATGGTATAGAGCATATAACTTTTTTATAAGTTACTACAGTTAGTTTTTATTTCTTTTCTGAAATTAAAAAACTTGTATTTAAATATACTCACTTAGTCTAAATTTTTCCTTTAAAGAGAAAAAAAAAGTGAGTGAAACACTGCGTAAATGTTGCAAAAGTCTAATATGTTAATCATAGTGACTAACCAAATCAACCTCTGAGAGGATGTTGGGGTAGAAAATGAAGCACAATTAGTGGTGCTTTGCACCAAAAATAGGAAGAAGAATCAAAGTAGCATCTTGCAGCAAGTAAATCACATCTCTGCAAAAATGTTTGACTTAATCCAAGGGAAGTTATAGAAATTTGGGGTCCCAAACTCTCCATCAAACATTTGGCAAATTCTGAGCCAACATTGTTCAACAAGGTCTTAACAAAGTTAAAATGTGTTTGGGTTTACGTTTTTTTTCCCAGTTTCGGTTTTTTTGCTCTAAGAACTTGTCTTGTTTTTTACTCATGTAGTCACAGTGCACAATGAGCAACAACAAAAAAACTGTGGGCAAAAACAGGGGAAGTGAATTCTTGTATCATTTTCTACAGTTTAATTAGCATTTAGCATTTATATAAAGACCACCAGATTCTTTACAAGTTAAGATTTTCAAAAGTTTTTATCACTATTACAAATGTAGAAATCTTGGATAATGATAAACTATTTTGGTAAGAACACAACTCAGGAATATAATTATTATTAATGAGAGTATATTCTCAATTGAGTAAGTCATCAAATAGACCTCAATCCACTAAAAGATGATGTACATGATATATAAATATGTTAGAATCTAAATTCAATGTCTCTTCCAAATATTTTATTAACTACCAAAATATGGGATATAACTCTCTATTTAACTCCCAATGAAAACAAAAAATCATTTCTCTCCACTAAAGATAAGATCTTTTCCCTAAAAGATACAATATGTTATAATTATCGATTCCAAAATTAATAATTCAAATCGTAACATTTAAAAAAATAAAAAAAAATAATACACACATTTTACCTATTTTTAATTAACAATTATAATTACATTTTATCATACACTATAATATAAATCTTCGTTTAACAGTAACTATAAACAATTCAAATAGAACTTTAATAGGTGCCAAAACTTTCCCTTTTAAAAGTATTAATATACCCACAAGATTTAAATTCGAGATAATCAAATTGGATTTAGTACAAATTTATTTGATTTTTTTACATAGTCAAATATAAATTCATGATTCACACTTGAATTGAAATTACTTTTAAATTTTTTTATTGAACTTCAATCACCAAATCAAACATGCATTCTAGAAGTGTTTGACATAGTACCCCCAGGATTATAAAAAAAAAAAAAAAAGGAGAAAAAAGGATATAAAATCAAAATGTAACAATAAATAAAATCTAATAAATGCAATTGAATATATCAGTTTTAGCAATTGGTGGTGGAAGTGAAGGAGGTGTAAGCTTAAAACAATAACTGTTGGAGATTCTGACATTTAAGTTGTGTGAGCTTAGAAGCAAGATAATCTAAGGCATAGTTTGGGTGTTTCAATTTTTAGTTTGCCATACATTTTCAAATCTTGACTTGTGCAAAAGAACCACCGAACTGTGCTCAACCAAGTACATGTGTTTCAATTTTTTCTTTTCTTTTTTAAAACCACCCTTTTGCTTTATTTTATTTTTATTCCATGCATGGAATTCTCCACCAACTATAACACCACCAAAAAAAGAGAGAAAAAAAAAAAAAAAGGGAGAAGAAGATATATATAAAGAGAGAGAAAAGAAAAGAGAGTGATGGTTAGTTCTAGCTCTTCCTCTTTGGTGCCTATTCAGTAGTAGCAGCAACAACAAACAACAACAACCCATCTCTCAAAATTGGATTTTTTTTCCCCACCACATACCCATTAATTTTGTTTGCTTGGGGAAAAACAAAACTGAGGGTCTCTTTGTTGTGCCTTTTATCGGGTCTAATCTTTGTACTCATGGAACTGTCGCATCTGAACGCGTTGATTCTCTTTTGATCATTACCTGGTTAAAAAGCAAGAAGCTTTGTGATCTGTTTCGCTGAACTTGATCTGAATTTGTCCATTACCACCCCCCTCCCCTACCTTCAACTGTTTGTGTGTTTACATGATCATGGAATGTGCATATGCATATAGTCCTTGCGGATTTTGAGGTAAGTGTTAAAAAATTTGTTGATCTTGTTTCGTTTTGCTTGGTGGGTACAATAATATTTGGATTAGATTCATTCACTATTCTTTACTCATGATGTCGCATCAATCAATGGAGGAGAGGAAGTTTGTGTGCAAGTATTGCAGCAAGAGGTTCCCTTGTGGGAAGTCTCTTGGTGGCCACATCAGGACTCACATGATGAGTGAGAATTCAGCTTTAGGTAATGTAGAGAGGAAGAATGCTACTAATGCTATGTTAAAGTTGGATGGTGGGAGAAAGAGGAAGAGGGATTTGGGATCTGAAGAAAATGGTGGTGGTGTTAGTGGGGGGAACTACAACATCATTTATGGTCTTAGAGAGAACCCCAAGAAGACCACCAGGTTTGTGCATTCCAATTCCACTTTGCAAGTTGACAAGTTCTGCAAAGAATGTGGGAAGGGATTTCTATCAATGAAGGCTCTTTGTGGTCACATGGCTTGTCACTCTGAAAAGGACAAGGGAGCCAACAGGTTAGAAAGCAGTTCTGGTGGGTTTACTGAGAAGCAGAAATTGGTTATGGATAGTCAATCTGACACTGAAACATCTACGCCAAGGAGGTCCAAGAGAATGAGGTTCAAGACCCTTAGCAATAGCAACAACCAACCTCAATCGTCTGTTTCGGAGGTTGAGCAAGAACAAGAAGAAGTGGCTAGGTGTTTGATGTTGTTGTCTAAGGATTACAGGGGTCGTTTTGCTTTGTTCACAGAGTCTTCTGATAACAACTCGGTTATTCTAGAGGCAAAGTCACCTTCTCTGGAAACCAAGGTTACTATAATGAATAGTAATGGTAAGAATTTTATGTCTAGTGCTTATGTGGAGAAGAAGTTGGGGCAGCCCAAGGACTTGTATGATTCTGATAATTCAGATTCTGGGTATTTTAGATATGGTCCTAAGGAGGTTGATTCCACTGATTCAAATAATGGGCATTTCAAGAATGAGGTTAAGCCTTCCAAAGTCGGGTACTTGTCTAAATTTGAGGATTATGATGTTGAGTCGAGGAAAGTGCTAAGCAGGGAAGGAAGCAAGAACATTGAATTTAAGAAATTTGTTTCAGAGGATTGGGAGAATGATAGACAGAATGGTGGGGCTGCAAGAAAATTTGATTCAAAGAAATTTAAGAAGTCCAACTATGATTCTCTTGGCCAAAATTTGGGTGGTGTTTCTGGCAGGAAGATGAGGAATGATTTTGTCAATGATAAGATGAACAGGTACGAGTGCTTAACTAGTGAAAGAGACCATGGTTATGATGATTATGCTTATGAAAGTGATGGAAACAGCACACACTCTGATTCATATCCAGCTCCAAAGGCTTATAGAAAAAGGAATCTCAGTGGCAAAAAGGGGAAGAAGAAATCGAAATCAAGGAAAAGCAAGGTACATGAGTGTCCAATCTGCAACAAAATTTTCAGGTCAGGCCAAGCCTTGGGGGGTCATAAGAGATCCCATTTTATTGGAGGTTCTGAAGAGAACACCCTGGTGATAAGACCAGGTGCTCCTGTTGTTCCTTGTCTCATTGATCTCAACCTACCAGCACCAGATGATGAATAGGGAGGAAATGTGCCATGTCATTCTGGAATTTGCAATATTTTAAAGCATCTTTTGTTGAGGTAGCTGAATGTTTGAAATTCTAAAAATATTGTCTTTATCCCATATGCTGAAAGCAGTGACAATGTAACACAAGTGGGGCAATTGATTTTTGTCCGCAAGGTCTTAAGATCCATCATTTGGTAAGGGATAGTCTTTCTTTTCATGTTTATAGAGCATGAGAACTGTTCCTCGATGATTTTTTTTTTTTTTTTATTATTATTATTCCCTTTATCAAGCACATCTATATACTCATGAAATTATGTTCTTTTCATGCAAATGTTAACTTCACCTTTGGTTGGTTCAATGAATTTTTGTCTTCTAATATTGGGGTCTCTCATTTTTCATCTTTTAGAAATGTAGGTGAGATGGTCCTAAAACTAAAGCAATAGTAGTTCATTTTGGACTCGGTCTATTTCTGGTTCATATTTGCAAACTGTAACATGTTACATGTCTTTTCAGAGGCATGATTATAGAGCAAGCATCCTAGTTTTTCTCTTTCAAACTGTGACCAAAACTTACTTTTTAGTTATGTGCTGTTCTTAAGAAAGATAAGGGACCATCACCTTTAATGATAGAAAAGTGGTTGGATACAAAGATTGTCATTGGAGGCGAGAGTTGCATTCCCAATATTGGGAAGTGGTAATAGTAATGATTTTCTTAAAAGTGAAATAAACAAAATATTTTAAAACTTAGTTAAAGCACATTAATGTCTTGTGCCCAATTGGTTCCTTTAACATGGAACATAACACTATGGTCAAATAGTTAAGGTGAAGTAAGTATTAAGAGAAATCGAACTACAAACTTTTTCCTTAGTCATCGAAAAAAATAAAAATAAAGTGGTTGTTGGATCATTCTTTGGGTTGAAGATTTAACCAAGGATAATTACTCTGTACAATTACGAGGAAACAAAACAAGTTTCATTATCCTTCAAAATAAAAATTTGTTAGTTGAGATTAAGGTAGTAGGACACATAATTGCTCCATGTTCAACTTTCTATCACATGTATCTTAATAGCATAAGATTTGTACACCTTTTGATTATGTTGGTTCCTTTATATTTTATTGCCTATGTTTTTATTCTTAGTCCTTGAGGTTGGACAAGAGGACCACTTGTAATCAAACTCCAACATCAACAGCTGCTATGGATTTGGAATCAATAAGGGAAAAGAACCAAACAAAGGGGTGCCTTAATTTTTGGAAATAGATTGATGAAAATCAACTAAATCATCAATAAAAAAAATTGAAAAATTGAATATTTTTTACTGTAGGGTACATTGGGGTCTTGTAAACATCTGGTAAACTAAGACTTTGTGAAATTGAAAATGAAAAATGATCACTTCTTAATTCAATGTGTAGGTCATGAGTGACTCAGAGTCATCATGCTCAGTTAACAACTTTTTTTCTAATTTTTGTTTAGACAAAATTGCACAGTGAAGGTTCAGATTGCTTTGGTCTATCCTTCCAGAAGGAATCGCAATTCACAAAGTCATTTTGTTTTTGTCTATTGATTTGATGAAGCATCTTCTTAGAACATTTTTCAGTGTTAATACAAGGTGAGTGGAGCATGTGTGAATACCCCATTTGTGGAAAAAAAAATAAAAACTCATTATCTCAATGTCAATTTCTCAGGGAAGAAAAACACTTCAACAGTATATTCTTGCTTTTCATGATGCAAATAAGGTGTTAGTTTTTATAAGGAATGTGTGTTTCAATTTTTATTATTTTTCTTTCATTTTCACTTTCAAAGCCCACTTTCTCTATGTTAAATGTTGGAGAAAGAATATTATCCTTTGTGATATAAGACATCATGTTCAATGGTTTGTGAATAATACACATTTAACAGTGCTCAAATGTTCTTTATAATTACTTATATATTTTAGAAATTATAAATTTTGATGAAATATTACATTATGTTTCTCTACCCTCCTTTTCTAATTGCAGTGTATGATAGTTGTTTTTTATTATACTTTCATCCAACACATATATGTGTTTTTCTAAGAAATATTTTTAAATTTTTTAATCATTAATCAAATATAATTTAAATTAAAAATCTCTAAATTGTTATATATATATATATATATATATATATATATATATATTCACCAACATAATTTATTTTTAATATTAAGGATTCATAGTTAGGTTTGATTTAGTCATAAAAATCAAACTTATATTTTATAATTGAATTTAAATTAATTTATGACTTTTTATACCAAAAATATAAGTTTAAATAAATTGTTTTTTAGAGAAAAATTTAATTTTTAAATAAAAAGTATAAAATTATAAAATCAGTTTTTAGTTATTTTTGTATTATTAATATTTTCCTCATTCATAGTTTTTTTATCACTTAATTTAAAGAAACATAAATAAAAATATCAACAATATATAATAATATTCATAAAATATACCATTCAATTAATAAATAAACAATTAATTAAATTATTTATATTATATATATATATATATATATATTAAAATATTCAATATATATATTTATTCTAAATTATATAAAAATATTTTATGATAAATTTTAAAATATTATAAATATTATTATTATATTATAATTATTAAAAAATTAATATTTATTTTAAAACAATTTTTTAATAAATATTTTTAAAATTACTTAATTTGAATAAATATCATAACACAATCTAGTTATAATTAGATTAAATTATTAAATAAAAATAAATTAAACTTATAAATATTTAATATTTTTTATTTAAATAAGTAATTAATTTATTATAATAAAATAATTAAAAATTATTATTGAGAATTTTTAAAAAAATTATTTTGTAGTCTTAATATTGATTTAAAAAAATTATTTTAATATATTTGTATTAAATTTTCATTTAATATTTTTTAATTTAAAAAATATAAAACAGATTTAAAAACGAAAGACAAGTGAAGATGAAAAAAAAATGAAAAGAGAAAAAGCTACTTAAATTTTATTTTAGTAGTTTTAAAATAAATAAGTAAATAAAGATAAGCAAAATCTTTAAAAAAATTACATAAATTTTATTTAAGTAATTTTTTTAAAATATATTAATTCTAATATTGAGTTATGTATAAGTTTTTAAAATCATTATGATTTAGGTTATCTATTTGTTTGATATAATATGGACCAATACAAAAAATAAATAAATAGTATATTTTTTATTTAATTTAATGTTAAATATACTAATATATTATATTCTTGAAATAAAGTAAAGCTAAATAAAAAAAATTATTATAGTTGAGTGTATTGATTGTTAATGTTATAGTGGAATTTGAAAAGAGTATTGATTATCATTTTTCTCAAGTTTAAAAAAAAAAGAATTGTAATTTAATTGGAAAGAAAGAAACTCAGTGGAGAAGAGGAATTGATGTGAAATTATGAGAATGGAAAGAGAAAGAGAGAATGGAAAGAGAAAGAGAGACAAAAACAATGGAGTTTTGTTTTGACCAGACCTAACCAACATAATAGAAGGGCAAGCATGTGGGCCTTAGAAGATCCATTGGAAGGTGGGCTCAGAAAATGCTCAAATTCAATTGTTATTGTTTGATATGAAGACTCCCCTGCTTCTAATTTTCACTTTTATTTCAAATGAATATTTGTATATTATTATTAAAAAATTATATATAAATTAAATTATTTTTATCATTATTTAATGATAATATATACAAATTTATTTAAAATATAAATTATTATAAGATTGTAATTATTTTTAAATATTTCATCTTAGTTTATTTTAGGTTTTTAAGACTAATTTAAAATTTTCATATACTTTAAATGACAAAATTAGTTTTACTTGTGGTAAAAGTTGTTACTTTAAATGTAATAAGTATTGCTAAGAAGAAAATTTATTTTATTCTATCATAAAATGGTTGATTTTTTTTTGTAAGTATACAAATTTTATTTTATTTTATTTTTAAATAAATTTAAATACTTATTTTAAAAATAATTTTTATTTATTGGGACTATTTTTTATTTTAAATAAGTTATCATTAAAATATGATTTAAATGTTCTCGATTAAGATAAAATATAAGTCAATTTATATAGATAAAGAGTAAGATATATTTTAATAATAATATGTACATATTTTTTATTTGAAAGGAAAAATGTTGTGAAATTATTTTTTTAAGTATTATTTATTAATTAATATTTAAAAATAAGTTAAAAAATATACATTTTAAAGGCCGATGATATCATTGCATTAAAGAAAATTTAATTTATTTTAATTAAATATATTTTGATTTGATTTATCATAAATTTTTTTTGTGTTTAATCCTTCTAAAATTAGCTATAAATAAATATTTTTCATATTTAATACTATTTGACATGTTAAATAATATTTTCACGTATGTGTGCTGTGATATAACAATGATAGTAATATTAAGATAAAATATATACTGTTTAACTATCGTAAAAATAATGTTATAAATTAGTGATTTCAATTTTTGAAAGGATAAAAAATAAAGACAAATATTTTACAAGAGACTAAATTCAAAATTCATATACTTTATAAAAATTTAAAAATAATTATTTTTAATTAACTAAACAATTTATAACTGAAATAAAAAAGAAATTAAGACAAAAATATCAGTAACTTTGATCTAGAAATTATAAAGTCATTCACCCATACATAAAACATTACAATTCATTAATTTAAAAATAGTTAATTTTCTTAATGTACTATCCTTTTAGAAAATGATACATGTCAATTTTAGTATTTATGTAAAATTAAAAATTATATACATAAATAGTATTTTAAAAATATTTTACATCTAAATTTAGTAACGCATATTTTTCTGATCATTTTGACTTCTTGTTTGTAATTTATGTTTTAAAATTTTACTTAAATTAAAAAATGCATAATAGTATATAATACCTAAAAATAGAGTAATTGAGTTCAAATATTTAAAACAATAAAAAGTAATTTAATAAATTATAAAGTTGGTTTACAATGAATCTTATAAATAATATATATTTTTTTAAAATTAAATAAAATCTCTTATTTTTTCACTTATAATAAAAATATGTTAAAATAAATATTGAAGCTAAAAAAATATTAGCTAATTTTTTAAAATTATGATTATAATAAATAATTTGAAAAAAATAAATTTATTTAGTATATTATAAATAATTAATTTAAATTATTTTATCATAATAGTAATTAATAATTTAATTAAAAAACATCAACTATTTATGAATTAAATGTATTTTTTATTTAATAATTTAACATAATTATAATTAGATTGAATTATGATAATTAGTTAAATTAGGTAAATTTAAAAAATTATTGTTAAAAAAACTGTTTCACAATAAATATTTAATTTTTTTCTTAATAATTATATTACAATAATAATATTTGTAATTTTTTAAATTTATCATATAATATTTTCTCAAAGAACAAAAAAGAATAAATAAATAAATAAATGAAGATAAATATTAAAGGAAGATAGAAAAAATAATAAAAAGTAAATAAAAATAGAGAAAAATATAAAAATTATTATATTACATCAGACGAATTTATTTTTACTTTTTGAATTTTGTGTATGAAAGATAAAATTGTTCTAATTGGATAAATAAATTTAGAAAGATTCTATTTAGATAAATTTTTTTAACGGTATTATTTACGAGATTGATTGGTTTATTTAAGAGTAAAAGCTTTTAAAATTTGGAAAAACAAATAAAAATTTAAAGAATATTGATTAATAAAATCAATTGAGATTTTGTATAAAAAAAAATATATAAGTTAAAGTTACTAGTTTATATTTTTAAGAAAAGAAGAAAGTTTTTTTTTGGGAATTAAATAATATTTAATGAATATATTATTTATTCATATCTATATATCTATATTTATTATATATATATATATTTTTTTTCCATTTTTTTTATATCATAGTTTATATTTTTTATATTATTAATAAAATTAAAGGATAATATAAGAAAAATAATTACCATATTATATATTTAAAGAAAGAACAAAATAAAGACGTGAGAAAATTGGACAAATAATGAGTACCACATAAAAAGAAAAGAGAAAAAATTGATATACTATTAAAAATATAATAATATAAAAATATGAAAAAACGGATATTTTAACGTTTAATTTTTCATCAATACTATATACAATAATTTTTTTAATCAATTTTGATGCTATAATTTATAGTATAATATTATTTTTATTAAATATACATTTAAAAATAAAAATAATGAGAGAGAAAAAAGAAATATATAAATAAAATAAATAAAAAAGAACGTAGATAAAATAAATCTAAAGAATGGGTAAAGAAAAAACAAATATTTATGTGCTTTAACATTAATATTTCCGCTAATATTATATAATCTAAAAATAGTATTATAATGTTGAGGGGGAAAAGCGCGTAAAGAAGGAAAAGCATGGAAATGAAAAGATAAAGAAAAGAAAGGGTGAAATCTGAAAAGGAAAGGAGTGAAAAGTGAAAAGTTAGGTGGCCTGGCCTGGCCTGCCGACTCTCAAGCAATCTCGAATTCCACGCAACTGATTGCGCACCAACATCACTATTAACCGTTGCCCTATCTTTTTCAACGCCATGTACATTATCAACCATCAATATCTTATAACCACGCAACATTATTCAATACACACCACCGCCCACTTAATATAATTAATGCTCAACCATCAATCCCGCTCAATTCAAATTATTTTACTTATAAAACAAAATTTGTATTCAAGTGGAAAAAATATCTACTTTTACATGGATTATAAATACTGGACATGACATCAAAGTTTACAAGGAGTTTAGGTTTTCATGCATATATATTGTACAATCTGAGAGGGAGCTGCGTTAATATACATTATGCACAGTGGCTATTGCTTTATATAATAATCTAATACATAATAACTATAACAAAATGAATGATACTTTAGTCAAGGTCCAAATATATAACCCAAGGTAGATAATTACCTTCTACCGAGGTTGTAAGGTTCCCATGCATGAATACTATATTCGCTTCTCGAGACAATAGATGGCTAAAAAGCACCTGCTGCTCAAATTAAAAGAAAATTTGCTGCCGCTTGTGACCTACTTGTTCAGAGTGTGCAGGAAACAAAAATGCATGCATGTCCACGCATTTCTCTGCTCCACTTCTACCAGACCATCAGCAAATCAAATCATGACAACGATTATTAGCCCATCAAATAAAAAAGCATGGATAACGAGATATATTTAGATTGATCAAGTGTAATCATGCATTATTGCAAGAATTCGTGAGTCAACATCAAGAATGAAAAGCAGTGGTTCAATATATAAGATAATAGCGAACAGCCTTATCTAATATGCTCCTTTCATGTATACGTACAACCTTATGTATAAGTTGTTTGTGTAGTAAATATACAAAATGCCAGGTAAACGGAAAGGAATTTATGGATGGGGTTTCACTTCCAAACAAAAGTGTCAAAGACATCAACCCTACACCAGGCTAGCTCAAAATTTTATTTATTTATCTTTTTGTATTTTTCTTTTCAAGACCAATGTTGTGTGAGACCGGATAAAACCTTAAATTTTGTATCTTTTCAAACAGAAAATCAAATCTGGATCCCTCATACCATGGAAAACTTAGCCTTCATGCTGGACTAACAGTGTCAATCGTGGCTAGCTCACAATCATATAGAGGAACCGCTCACATTTACATCATCTACAACTCTTCATGGGTAATATCTAACAACAACTTGATCAGATGCGACAACCTGTCAACGTAACCTCTAAAAGGTGTGTTTTTCTTTCCCTTTCCCTTTTCTCTTTGTGCTTCAAATGAAGCCCAGGACCTATCTATAACTATCATTAACCGTAACGGCGTACGCGTACGGTGTACCTCTAATAATGACTAATTAAGCTAAATATTACATACGTCTGTAATTGTGGAGGTACTAAATAACAATGGAATTTTTCAACCACGATTTTCTAGCAAGAAACCATTGTAGATGATATCAGCCTAAATACTCACATTGAGGATGAAATTCAATCGTGAGACATGTCATTTCTCTTTGAAAGTGACAGACAACATATTTTTTATGAAGTCAGTGTATATATATTTTAATCGAATTGGCTTTAGAAAAACCGCTGAAGACCTAGCAAAGTTTCTTGATCTGCTCAATAAAGAGAAAACATATAGGTCATGCGGAGCAGACTTTCCGAGCAAAATGTCGAGAGCTTAAAAGAAGATTAAACAATTCAAGGCCCGTATAAGATGAAAAAAAGCTAAGTAACAGATCTTCTGTTAAATATAAATATATAACTAAAATTCACGGAAAGTAAATATAATCTTTTAACAAAAAATAAGTTCCAAAGCCACTCTATACATATTTCTTCTGGAAAAAGGAAAGGTTCATTAACCACTATTTTTATTGTGAAAAAAAAAAGGTTTCAATTTTTTGTAAAGTTTTAAGAGCAACGCATCTAAAAGCAGTCAACTGAAGACTAATGAAAGGTTCACCTTTGAATTCCTTTGTCTCCAATCATACTTTAACCTAAGATGCCTAAGTGCTCCTGAAAACAACATCATTAGTCAATATAATTAAGGTTCTGCCAGAGAAGTTCTTATCCACTAAAGATATGCATTATGATGGTAATGATGCTTGTGTCATGACCATATGAAAGCAGATCTTAAGCAGAAAAGATATCTGCCGACCAAAACATCATGCACCTTCATTAACTGAGGAATATGAAGTCATGCAATACGAGAACGTTATCGTTGACTCCGATTATTTTGCCATTTCAAGCTACTAAGTAAAAAACACATCACAAAATTTAAACCGACAAATAATATATATACTTTTAATCCTTTAATCTCTATGCACTTACAAAATATAAATATTTACAATGTCCGATCAGTATCCAAATTAAATTGTCATTTTCACAAAACAAACAAAAAAATACATAAAAATAGTTTAATTTCATAAATCTAATATTTATCAAACAATTCCAGATCTGAACTATTTGCTCTAATGAAAGAAAAAAAAATGTAAGAGTAATTCAATATGAGAAAACGTTTCCCTTATTATTTTTTTTTCACTTATAATTATAGAAACAACAATTTAGTTCTATATCATTTTTTGCTATTAAAGCTAGTATAAAAGTAATAAAACTTATTTTTGGTATTTTCCATACAAATTAAAAAGAAAAGATGAAAATAATTACATATTTATTATAATTTTAAAACAAAAAGACTTAGTAATCCAATCCACTTTATCTAATCTCTAAATATAGCTCGATAACTAATCAATTTAATTAGAAGGCATTGAGTGACCTAAAAAAAATCCTTTATAATGTAAGTTTACATATAAATATTAACTAATTATTCTTAACAAAACCGTTTAACTTTTGATTACTTAAAACTATCCTTGAAAATTACCGTTAAAAATACTCTAAATATTTAAATTACTAAATTGTATTTTTGAGTCATCATATAGACGTTACTAATTTTTTAGATTTATATTTAATGATTAACTAATATTTATTATATTTGTAAAATATCTGGAAATAGAGTAATTTTTATTTTTGTTGCTAAAATATAAATAGTTTTCCCCCTTATTTTCACAACTGAACTATAATAAAAAAAAAATAACTATTTTTTTTGGTAATAGACAAGAATGTTGTCTTGTAAAATCTCCTTAAAAACTCACAAAAATGCATTTACAGAAGGTGTGGTTAGATAATTTTTTTCATATTTACGGAAAAGTTTATCAAAAACCCTTGAATAAATAAATAAAAAAATCCAGAGAGATTGAATATTTATACCATGAAATGATTCTCTCATCTGATGCGCATTCCCGGAGGTACAATATCTCCAAGCAACCCTTCATCCGTGGGAGGCTGGACAGAGGATGCATCAGCTGGCATTACAACGCTGGATCCTCTAGATGCATCATCCTGTGCTTGGCATGGTTGAGAAATGGAGCTGAGAGTATTAATATTATTATTCTCTCTGGGTGAATGAATTGGATAATAAAACTGTGACATTGTAGGAGCCAACTGGCCCGCAAAGGCAGTAGCCTCATGACTAATGATTCCCCCTCGAGGAAATCCAACGGTATGATGACAGTGTTGGCCTTCATATGTGGTAATCACAATTGTTGGGTCCTCGGAAGAACGTTCAACCCTCTTCTTCACCGTGCATTTGCTGTTTGTGCAGCGGTAGTAGCTCCTGCAAAGACATATAAATGCATCAGAATAATTAAGTAGTGCAATGTTGTCAGTTAGCTTTTCTGGTGCTGTTATCACTACCAATTTATTCCAAAAATGTTTAGCACAAAGACTCATACATTGACGGCTTCCAATAATGTTCTTTTGACATATCCATGGAACAATATACATATATTGAATAAGCAAAACTATCTTATTTAAAATCATCGAGGTTTTTTATTTTTTCTTTCATGATTATTAGTTATTTTTATATATTCTCATTCAAGAGAAGTGTTAAAACACTTTTTAACAAACTTTTTCTAACATATTTATCTGTTAAAATGTATAAAATAAAAAAAATAAAATGTCAAATCTTCAAAAAATTGTAAATTTTAATAGTTCTTAATAATATTATAATACTACAAAAGAGTATGTCCAAATGTTATTGCTAACATATCTCTTCCAACCAAATGCTAGTTCAGAAAAACAATTAGAATGAAATGAATGACTCTAGTAATATACATGCACCTCATGCTAACTTCATTGACATATTTGATTTTTTTTTCATTTCCATTTTATTTCATTTAATTTCTGAAACACTGAAGATTAGAAAAATGTTTTAAAACAATACTGTCGTGTTTATGTTAATAAAAACGAAAATTTAACTTAGACAAAAGGGCTCCAAAATAGTCAACTGTATATCATAGTATTTTTTTAATGTACGTAAAATTTAATTTGATGTCAAGGTAGCTGTAAACCTAGGGAATGGGCTATTTTTAACTGCCTTCTGACCATACTTCCGCCATCTGTAGCCATCCTCAAGATGATCAACTTCACTCTTGGTCATAAATGCAAACCGTGGCTGCCGTATTCGTTTTTGCCCCTTCTTTTTACCTTTACTCCTACAAGAGATTTCACTGACAATTTTTCAGAATAAAAACGGCATAGATAAATCAGTAAAACAACAAGAAAAACATGTGTAACCTAAACCGGCCGCAGATTTTATATTTATTGTTCTTTATCAATCATACTCAAGATTCTATTGCATTGAGAAATGTCAAGAATATTTACACCATTTCTATGTAAATACTTGGGACTATCTGTTTTTAAAAAAGGTAACGCTACCGCATGATAAGATTATATTCCTTTGTCTTGGGTTCCACGAACATCCATGAAGCAATAATCCGAATCATGCCAGAAAATAAGATAAGGCAATTCCGATAAATACATTAATTCAAGTTTTTAAAATAATCTATAAAAAACATGTGAGGTAAAGGGTATCATAACAGATGTAAATAACATGGATAAAAAAAACAAAATTATTATTTACAAATTCCACGTGTTGAATGGGCACAAGATGGACAATCAAATTGGATGAAAATTAGAGTAGAGGCTGTGGATTGATGGCAATTAACTAAAGGCCTCATTTGCAATTCAGATTTTTCAAATCATCATTAAAATCATATTATGTGCAAAGGCCAAAACAATAGGATCCACATTGCATTGGAGCAAAAAGACACAAAAATAGTTCTGCATGGTAGTCATCCCATCACTAAGACGAATGACACCATGATACGAATAACTGAGCTCTAAATGAACATTAATTTTCTTTTAATTAGAAAATAGTGCACATAAAATATGGACCACAGGTCTTACAATGAAAACACGCAATCAATATTTAGGGGAAGAACCATTATGTCATAGGCAACTTACATTCAATTGTATTGCATTCATGATAATTACAAGCACAAAATGCTCATTAATGCAAAGCTATCACATAACACTGAAATGAATAAGCATCATACTAAGAATGCAAAAACCCTGTTTATCATGTTCGAATGTAAGAATGACCATGTAATTTGAACCAAAAAGCTGCAAGTGGTTAGAATCATATTAATGCCCAAAAAAATGTTCAAGAGTGTGTGCAAGCATGAATCATTTAAGAAAACAATAAAGAAGAAAAAAAGAAAGGAAAAGTGGAGCCCAATTACCCACCCTTGCTTTCCATTCTATTCTATGGTATTCTTTTTCTTTCATTGACTATTCAAACTCTCATCAAAACAAAGAGTAATAATGACAATAATAATACGAAAATAATGAACACCACTAAATTATTATCACTCTGCTAAGCCTTCTATGGATTAGAAGGACGCCATTTCCGCCGCAATAACGGCGGTGCTCGTGGGCAGAAAAACTTCACACAACCGAAAAGGCAACCCCCTCCCCCCCCCCTTTTTTTTCCTCCTTTTTACACCCCCGTTTTCACTTTTTTTGACACAAAAATTCTCGAAAATTGCTAAACGCAACCAATAAAAAATCGAGTCAGTTACAAATGTTCTGTTTGGCAAGAAGATTCCTGGTTGTACGGGCAGAGAATGCACTGACTCGAATAAATTAAAAAAATAATAATAATAAAACGGAATAAAATAGAACACGAATAAAATAAAATACGATGCATACAAAACAAACAAACCACAAGTTGATTCGATTGTGATTTTCGTTGATGTGGAGATTTTCAGTTATTCCTACTAAATATCGCACAATTTTACGTTAATTACGTATTAACCACGCACGCAGGTAAAGTGTTAAGCAAAGTTGAAAGCAGTGAAGTTTTTTTCCTTTTTTTTCTTTTTTCATTATTTGGCGTTTTCGCGAACTCACGGTATCTCAGCCGGTTTCTCGTCGGAGACGGTGGATTTCTCCGGCGGATCCTCGCTGGAGCTCGACGACACCGACTGGTTATTCGACCGCGACGACACCGCAGCGGCCGGTTCGGTCGAACTGGTCAAAGAGGACTGAACCGGCATCCACAATCCATCGTCGGTGCCGATCCGGTTCGGCTGGTCCGATTCAAGATTCCACCCGAATTCCCTGAGTATGCTTCGCTCCCTGTCGCCGGATAGCAGGTACGCGCCGTCGGAGCCATCGGCGGAGAATGTCCAACTCGTGTCGCCGGCGAAATCAACCGCGGCGGGATCGGAGGCTGCTCCGTCCTTGTCTTCCATTCATGGATTGCGCGCGCGAATTTCGCAGTGCGGAGAAGAACAGGCGATCTACGTTGAAAGAAATTGGAATCGAATCCTGCAAAATTCAAAGAGCAAACGTGCAGAGAGAGTGTGGAGAGAGAGTGAGAGGGGAGAGAGAAACTTAGGGTTTTTGTTTGGGTTTGGTTGAGAAGAGGAAGGGACGCGTAGTTTTTGAAGTTTATGGAGCATTTGAAAGCGGTGTCTCGTCAATACACAATCGAAGGAGAGAGAAGCAGAAAGCGAAGTTTTTTTTTTTTTAAATAATATTTGAATTATTTGTTTATGAATAAATAAATAAAAAGAATAAGAAAGAAAAAAGATAAGATAGAAAAATGAGAGTTAATTAATTGTAGGAAGAAAGTGGTCACACGCGAATGAATGATTGGACCCTCGTCCCTCATACCTTTGTTGCCCTACCTTTTTCATTCAGCCAAAATTTTTGGTATCTTTAACTAATTTTTTCTTTACAAGTTTTGATGGTTCAAGTTAACCATGTGTAAATTTATCACATTTTTATCGGCAATGGTTTGAATTTAACATTAAAATCATTAGGAACACATTAAAAAAATTATAAGAGATATTATTTGGAAACACCATATGTAAAATTATGATTTTTTTTTTCTCATGCCATAGTTATGGGGGAAACCAAACCCTAGGCTACTATTTCTTAGGATAGTTGATCTTAGAGGTAAAAACACCCATTTACGAAAAACAATTAATTAATCAATAAATGGACGTAATGATAAAGTGACCTAGGTATGGCCAAATTACATTGCCCTCACGGATCTTTAAGAAAAGGAATTTCGTGCCAATTACAATTAAATCAGAAACTTTATTTTCCCCAACCATATATTCTCCATCTTACATATAAGATTACGTTGTTTATCTCTTGCCTTTATCATATGATATCAAATTACGTGGAACTCCTCATTTTAAATTTCTCGAATTAATGTTGCAGTAACTTTTTATTTTACTTTAGTTTAATGATATCATTTGTTTTTTTAGAGAGTTTACTTTTTGTAGATTTTACTCAAGATATTAACGTTTATTTATTTATGTACAATGGTTGCATTAAAAACATGTACCAATGAATTTGATAATACATCCTTCAATTAGGTAAATATTTATAAAATAAATTTAAAATATTGATTGTTATTGAGTAGTTTAAGTATAAATAAAATTATTTTTCTTAATTATTTAATAAAATATATTAATTAATATAGAAAACATAAAAATAATTAAAAAATTATACACATAATTTTAAAGTCAGTTATCATTGTAATACATCGAAAATAAAAAATATATTATATTCTTTCTATTTGAATATCTAATAATTTAATTGATTATATTTATATTTGAAGTGTAAATTTATGAAAAATAAATAAATTAAAACTCATCTATTTTAATTTTATTTTTTCATATTTTGTAAGTTTATAAAAAAATATTTTGATAAATAAACTAGTTTACCTCATCTATTTTTACTAATTTTAATAATTCACCAACTCTTAAACCTAATCGCGTATATGTCTGTGCAGTAAAAAAATGTTAGAATAAATTCTTACATTCACTTCATGTTTTGTAAATTAAGTTTTTTTTTCCTACTGTTTGAAGTAAATGGATTGTTATTGAGAACACGCTATATTTTTTAACACTGAAATTACCCATTTTAACATGTTTATGTCTAAAGTTTGTAAATGTCATTGTTATATATATACATATGAAATGTTATATATATTAAAGAAGAAGAAAAAAAGTAACCAAATATAGCTGTTATTGAATTTTGGTTTCAGCTAATTTAGTTAACAGAATGAAGTTATAGGGACTTGGAGGCATAGTTTCTTGAGGAAACGGTTGCACTTTACTTGAAAATTGAAAATGAGATTTGAAATAATGCCTAGTAGTTATGCAGTCTCCAACATTGAAATATATATATGAAAACCACACATAATATATGGTTTTCCTTCCTTAGAAAAACATTAAAACTTATATGTCAAAGTGTTTCTACCACAAACATGGATTATTATTATTATTATTTTTATTATGTTTTCTAACTATGAAGTTTGAAAACTCACATTATAGAAATTTTATAGATCTCTACGATAGATGAATATAAAGGCAAGAAGAAAATGGTATATGTGTAGGTATATTAAATAGATGAAATTGGAACAATTTAGAAGAGCATGAAAAGACTTAATATTCATTAAACAACTTAGTGGCGATATGTGATTTGTGAAAATAACATATCCCGTGGAGATAGGGATTGCATACACTGTATTTCATTCTCTGGTAGGCTTAACATCTTACTAGCTATACTAAGTAGGTATAAACCCTTTTCAAACCCAAAAACGTGCTTTTTTATTTTTGTGGTTTACATAAATCATCTGAAGAAATATGTAACAGACAAGTCTATTCATTAGTTGACTAGCCATGTGTTGATTCAAAGATTCTATAAACAACAAATGAAGGAAACAAACCTTGTTTTAGTATAATTTTTAGAGTCGCAAACACTTTTTTATTGAAATATATAACATTGTTGAGTATAATAAGATTATTATAAACAAGAGTATTAACTAAACATAAAATAAAGTCAACTAAATAGAATATATAAAAGAAAAAAGGAGGGTAAATGTGATAATTACTTGGTGTTTGAGCAAAGGCAACTTGGTTGATGATAAACGAGAAGAGAAAGGAATCGTAGAACTCTATAAAGGACAATTACTTAAACAAAAAGTAAGTGGTTGGAATAATGCATGCTTTGTTTGAGTTAATATCCGTAACATCATTTGATGAGCGGAATTTTTCAACATTGAAATTGATTTTCAGTGTTTGGTCCACCATTACAGCAACTAATTTCGATAACACAAACATGTTTCGGATTTGGCTATTTGAACTCCCCAAAATGCACTTGTACGCAAAAATACGCCTCTGGTGCAATGCACCAATATAACCCCTTTAATGCAGTGTCGTTGGGTGCACAGACACTGCTTTAATCCAAAAGCTTTAATTAAATAATTACTAGTATACCAACCAGTATATCATATACACACGTTATATTTTCATTATATATTATTAAGTATTCACATTATTATACATATATTTCCATCATCATCTACATTAAATGTGTAGATCTCTGAGTCTCTCTCTACACGAAGGGTTTCATCAAAACTGTGATAAAATATAATTTTGTTTGTGATAGTAAGTTTTTCTCCAACTTATTTTTACCTTCAATTTTAGTTTTTTCAAAATTTGAATTACTTAATATAAATTGCGTTCAGAATTAATTCCTCAAGTACAATTTAAAGCTCATTGAATTTGGTCCAAACGAGTTCCATCTCAACGTGAGCATGTTTAACCTTTTTGTCCTTGGCTCACCCTACAACATTTGAAATTTTAATATTTATCTACTTAAAGTTTTAGCATCAATTAGAAGGTGATTGTTGTTAGTTTGCAATGGCATATATGAATATCATCAAATATTTGATTGTTGTTATTTGATTAATAATAATAACATTCTTAATCTAACTTTCTACACTTCCTTCCGCATACATTGATGAAAAAAAGAAGAAGAGTATTTTTAAAATATTTTTGGATGTTTAACTTAGTATTATAAGTGAATAAATATTGAAATAATAATACGATCAAAAGAGATATCAAATCTTTTTATAACACAATGTGTGAGTGTAAAAATTCGAAAAATTAAGAATTTTTATTTTTATTTTATTAAATTATTATCGAATATCTTGATAATACAAAATATCTCATACTTTTATCGAATATTTTAACTATGTGTAAATATTTATATCGGATAAGTATAATAATAATAATTAAGGATGTCAAAATAGATATATATCCAATATGAAAGATTTGAAAAATAGGTTAAGTAAAAAAAAATGTGTCTTAAATAATATAACCATACAATTTTTGGCTCTATTTAAGTCATTATCTATATCGACTTATGTCAGGTTAATATATAAGTTTATAGATTAACCTGTTTTATTAAATAATAATTAATTTTAGAATAAAATAAAAGTAATATTATTTTATTAAACACAAATATGTATAATAAATTAATTTGATAATATATATATATATATATATATATATATATAATTTAAAAGAAATAATAAATCCTAAATATAAACTTTTGTTTTATTCATCTTTTTTTTCTTTGTTGCCATTATATTTTTGCTGTGACTTCTCATGTTTCTATTGTCGTATAGTCTCTTCTTAAGCCATTTTGTATGTTTCCATGTGTATTATTCACATATTTTTTTCATTTTTTGTTATTTTGTCTTTTGATTAAATTCTCACTTTTTGATTTATTCCTACAATACTTTGTTAAGTTATGGAAATTTCATTTTGTGATTCTCCAATTGGTAACTCATCTATTAATAGTTATGATATGCTTAATAATAGTAGGAGAGATAATGTTAAACATAAAGGTAGAGTCTTTAAGAGAAAAGACCATCACTTATGAAGTGTGAAAGTGAAATTATTTTGAAAAAGTTGGTATAATTGAAAGGATAGAGAAATATAAATGTAAGGGTTGTGAAAAGTTGTATATTATGTAAAGGAACTTCAGGAACCAATGCTTTAAGACGATATATTTCTAAATGTAATGCATTTTAAAGTATCATGATGTAGGACTTATCTTGAATAATAAGACTGACTTATTGAAACAATGAAAATTTGACTTTAAAATTCACCTATATGCACTTGCTAGATGTATTTTTAAGCATATAATTTTCAATTTGACTATGTTAAGTATGAGGGTTATGAGAGACAAATAAGGTTTGAAACTTGATTTTAAACCAATTATTATAAATACTTCAATTACTAATGTTTATAACGTGTATTTAACATAAAAAAAAGTTAAAAGAATGTGTTATCTAATATTTTTGGTAAAATATATTTGACTCATAATGTATGTATGGAACTATAACTTCTCAAGGCTACATCTACTCATTTTGTTGATCAAA